CGAGTAAGGGTACCTGCTCGCCGTCCTTATAGCTCTTAATCGACCAGCCTATAGTTTAATATCAAGGTATAGTCAGCGGGCAATTGCTCGAGCGAGAGAGAGGTGTTTGAGATCATGAGCTGGGGGCTTCTTTCTGAGGGCGGCGAACCTGGAATGTAGAATGCGTCGGCTGGTGCGGCAAGCAACAGGGAGACGAGGCACCCCAAGCCGGCCTTGAGCACCTGTCGCATTGTAATTAGGTTCGGTATTTGCGAGTTCGTCGTCGTTGTCGAATTAAATCCGCATAGACCGTCTCGGCGAAGTTTGTGTAAGTGGTAAAAGAGGTGACCCGATAAGATGGGCGACCTGTCCTCTGCGGTGGTGGTTGTGGTTTAATCGGGGTACCTTTCCGGCTTGGAGGGAATTGAAGGACAATTGAGGATAAAATTAGGCCAAGTCAGGAACGCAATCAAGGTAAGACGAGTCCGGTCGCGTTCAGGTTCAGTCGAGGGTCCGTGGCTGCACGGTGTCTCTCTCCGCGCCACGCCGCCGCCGCAAATGGGTGGGAGGGCGGAATCCAAGAAAACTGGATCGGACTGGGCTGCGCAGATGTGCCGGCCCCAAAGGATCGCAAGAGGAGGAAATTCGGGGTGGTAGAAGGTGAGGTGAGGTAAGCTGAGGCGGAAACGAGTGGAATCGGTACCAAGTACCCAGGAAAGAAGTCTAAAGGTAAATTGTCAAGTATCAAACTTCGAAATCTAGAACTCTCCCGTCTTGTTGAGAAATGACGCAAGTGAGCCCGCCGTCGGCCGTTATCGTTTTTGTTTCGAAACGGGGTCCAACCTTGGAAGAGTGGGTGAGGATGGAAGGGCGAGTTGAGGTGTTGTTGTTGGAAGTAGGCAGGTTGAGTGATGGGAGACAATGTATGCAGCACGGGGGGGAGAGGCACAAGAGGAATACAAAGACACACCCTCCAGATGGAAGGGGGGGAGGGGAGGAGAGGGGATGAAGAGGCAATTGGAAGAAAGCTAGGACGTTGACGGGATGCAGCTGGCGGATGGAGGACGGGACGGAATCGGCGGGAAATAAGAACAGTTCACAAGGGGGGAGGAGATGGACAGAGCATGGGAATGGGAATGGAAATGGGAGATTCACTGGGATTGCATGGCATGAGCACATGGGCTGCGAGCATGGGGATGGATGGTCGGGATGGGGGGATCGATGATGGGCGCACGGTTCAAGACCACTTTACATGTAGGAGCCCACTGAGAGGTGAAGCATCGATCAGAGAAAGGCCCGGAATAATTCATAAATTGCTTGTAATCATTCAACCTCAATCTGAGATGCCGTCTCCCAGCGTAGCATCGCGGTCGTCGAGTGCCATCCATCCCTCGCTGTAGTCCCCATCCGGCATCTTTGGGGGGAGGGGGGGGAGCCTCTCTTCCCCTCTCTTCTCTTTCACAGATGGTACTCGCCTTGCCTTACATTGGATATCAGTAGCTTTGTACTTCTAATGTAAAGTAAGGCAAGGTAGGCACGCTTCCCTACGCGCTTCAGTTCCTATCTCGCGCCTGCCAAGACCAACATGTCTCTCAATGAGAAGCGCAAGACATGAGCGGGAAGGCTTGTCGCAATTCACCCATACTCATCCGTATGCGTACCTTGAAATTCCTTTCCCAGACTCTTTGCCCAATCCCATGAACGCAAGCGGTAGTACAGACATTTCTGCAGGTAGATACCTATGTACATACGGATAGGTTGCTCACGGTTCACCCCCCCAAGACCCTCCAAAGAGCAGGCGAGAAGTGCGCCCCAACCCCTATATCTGCCGCCACCCGCTGTCCCGCCGCACCAATCAACATCTGCTGTTGGGGAAGCTAAATCCAACCGACACGAGGGGGGTTCACTCTTTGGGGCAGGTCGCAGCCAAAGATGAAAGGGGTGTCCGCGTCGTCACGTGTAGTTCCATTGTGATTTGTGCATTGCTTGTATTTTACAGAATAGGATATCCTGCTAGAAAAAATGATTCTCACGCAAGAAGAGGGAGGAATGGTTGGTTATTCGTGCACAGCTTACCTCACCTCGATACTTGCGCCTGAGCCTCATCCTCAGCTTTGCAAGCCCTCGACGACTCGCGAGTCACCGCACTAGAAACGATGCCATGTGGAAACGGACGATCGATCTTATTTAGTGTGGGCAGTTTACGCGGCTCCCGCTCCCTTTAGTCAAGTTACTATCAATAGAAACAAACGAACAAACCACTTCTGTGACCTGCCTCGTAGACGATCGCTCCCTCTCTCGAACAAACAGCATCGGGAGAGTGGGCTGTTGGACAGTGACAGGCCGAGTGTTAAGAACGCCCAGATAACGTCATCTTTCTCCATTCCCAATGTCACGGGGGGGAATTCGCATACATGGATAGTGATGCAGTTTGCTTGGTGTTATTGTGCTAATGCCAGCTTATGCCGGATAATCAAACCCCCACATTTCCTCACCCCCAAATCCCCCTCATTTGCCCAGTGACCCTCCAGTCCGAGCTTCTTGGGAAAATCATGCTGAGCGTCCGGGGCAAAAGAAACAGGGAAAAAGCGGGATAGCAGCAAAAACTCCACCGCAATCTCAATACTGGAAGCAATAGGGGAAAATGGAAGCAATTCAATGGGCCTAGAACTTTCTGGGTGTCCGGCACGGCATGGCGGCACCTTTATCCCGTTTTCGTCTCCACCGAGCACCTGCTTCCGGCCAGGTGTACCAGGCTCCTCCGGTCCGGGCCCCTTCACTTCCGCCCCATCATCCCGTCCCGTCCCCTTCTCTTGGCATTCCGGTTGGAGACGGGTTCGGCCTCTGATTATGGATCGTACGGTCTGTGTCAAACATGCCGTGTGGGGTAGGTATTATTCGGATATAAGTGATATGAGTAAAACCAGGACCTCGGCGCTGAGGTGTTGTCAACCTCCTAATTGATTTTATTGGTCTTCTAGGGGTGATTCGCGCCCTTTTGTTTGGAAGAATACAAGCTTCTTCCTCCATAAATCAGTGCCATAAAGTACGTGCTAGGCAGGCCTCATCAGGTCGTAAAAAACAAGTTCCAAAGGAGCCCAGATCTGAGTGATTTTGTCATATTATTACTAAGTATTGATGTGTTTATCCAATTTGCCTCTTGCTCTTTGGGTATCTTCAATTCCAACAGACAAAGTTTTCAAATGCATAACGAAAAAACTCCAAATCAAGGCGTCCCGAATTTTAGTATCCAAGACTCCGGTAGCCCACCAGCTCGATTCTCTACTGGTATCATCGCCATCGAAACAAGGGAATAAAGGAAATTGCTGAAAGGAATATCGTGCTCAAAACCCCCCATAAGTCGTAATTCGTCAATGCAAGGAAACAAGGACTTAAGCTGCAAGAATCTCAAGCAGCGGAGACCTCGCCTCGCCTTGCAGACAAATCGCCGTAGCTAGGCAGCACGGAAGTACCCTGGAATTCGGGTGCGGGTTGCTGCAACAATCTCGGCTGGAGGAAAGCGTCCGCTTCCGCCTCCTCTTGCTGTGCCATCACGGCTTCGAAGGTGGGAAGGCCCGTGTCAAGCGAATCGAGCTGCATGGGCGGCTCGAGGGCGACTTGCAGAGGGATGTTCAAGTTGATCTTGGAATCGCCAACGACGATGGTCAACTGCAGCGTGTAGGTGCGGGAGATTAGGCAGGCGTGGAAGGTCGGGATAAAGGTCTTTCGGGCTGTGGGCAGCTTGAAAGGAATCTGGAGAGCGGCCTTGTGAAAGATGGGAGAGGAGCGATCCTTGCTCGAGCGGCGGCTGTTGCTCTGACGCTGGCTGTCCGAGTCGGAGGGGCTGCCTTCACGCATGCCATCGCTGGAGTATCCGGAATCACGGCGGGCGGTGGAGGCCAGTTGCTGGCGCCAAGCAACCTTGTCAACCGATGTGGAGAAGAGGGAAACTGAGGTTTGGTATGCGAGCTGCTGGGTCATGGCATATGCCTCTTGGCTGTTCCCCATATTGGGGAGCGACGACATGGGCGTTGCGCCATACCAGGTCTGAGCTTGGATCTTGGCCGAGACGGTGCTGACCTTGGGAGGCAGGATATCGGCAGAGGTAGGCTCAAAGTTGAGGTTGACCAAGACTGAGCCCTCGGAGGCTCCGCGGCCGTCGGCAGTCAGGTAGACGGCACCAGGCTGAGCGGTTGCGGCTGTGACAGTGCCCTGCTTGGAGGAAAAGATGTTCTTGCGAATGGTCTTTGTCTTGTTGAGGGCGTAGTTCTTGTCCTGCTTGGTGATGTTCAGAGGCGGGTCCTCGGGGGATCGAGGGAGGACTTTGATGTGGTGGGTGTCCTCCATGACCTTGATCGGCTTTCCGCCGAGTTCGTCCTGTCGCACAACGCGGGCCTTGATGACATACTGGACCTGGGCCATGTCGGGGGCCATGTCATCCCTCTCCCAGCCGCCCATGGTCGGGGGCAGACGCATGTGGTAGTCTTGGATGTAATCGTACTGAGCCTTGTGAGTGCAAGCACTCATCGTCAGTTGGTGGGGAATGACAAAGTTGAAGGGAATGGTGTAAGCCCTGCCGGCCTCGAAAATCCGGGGTACGGGGTAGGCGGAAGCGGGAATGGGCATCTCGAGCTTCAGAAAGGTGTGAGAAGAAAGCTGAGGAATCTGAACGGCGTCAAGGCGAGTCCTCGAGATGCCGATCAGGATGATCTGAACAAAATCGAATCGGCTGTCATGGCTGGGCGTGATTGTGACCTCTCCAGAAATGGGGTTACCCGAGGTGTAGACCTTGGAGCTGTAGTGGTCGTTGATCTTGACCTCGATGCTCTGCTTCCTGGTGGAAGCAGGCTGTCGAGCAAAGGAGATGACCGAGCTCATGTCACTGTGGCTCGACATTTTGGCTGATTGATGGTAGATGGAGCTGGTTGGGCGTGACGATGACGATGATGGGAATGTCCCCGAGGTGGGGTGCGTAGCTTATATGTATGTAGACGAAGGCTTGAGTGAAGATCCCCCAGGTATTAGATGGGAACCAGATGGAGTCTTGTAAGTGACGATATGGTAATGAAACCAAGATGAAAGCCTGTGAGTGGTACGGAGAAATATAGACATTTCCATGACAAAAGGGTGGGCGAGGCGTGTCTCTTTAAGGTCGGGTCAATGTCAAGGATGGGAAGGGAGTAGATGGATGGGCAGGAGTGCAATGCAGCGTGATTGTTTGACTCGACTCGACTCGACTCGACTTGAGCAGATCCATGGCAGCAAACGCCAGGGCCGGAAACAACCTGGAAACCCTCCACCGTCGACGTCTTCCTCGCACTTGCAAAGGGCGGGCTCCTCATCCTCAGCCTGCGTGATGGAGGGAGGTGGGAAACGTACCGGTACCTGGCCAAGGTACATGAGGTACTCGGATGAGGTACCGACATTTGGAGAGTGGGTGGGTGGTGGGTGGCAGGCAGGTCCCCGAGCGAGAGACTTGCGGTTGCACGGGCAGTGGCCGAGACGGGAACTTGAACTGCCTGCCCTGCTGTTGACCGGTTGTTCAGTGTGTTCAGCGTGCAAAGGAAGGTGAAAAGTGGGACAGCAGACAGCAGAAAGACAAAATCTGAAGGATGGGGTCCACTAGAATGGTGGATGGCATAGCGGATGACTGGCGCTCCCAAAGGCGAGCTTGGGTGCTTGGTCTCGACAAGTGACGCCCTTCCTGTCGAGCTTACCTTATACAATTATGCGCTAGAGACATCCCCAGCGCTGTAGGGCATGCTCCGACTTCCATTCCCTCTGTAAGGTAAGGTAGGTAGGTAGACTGAGTAACTGTACGGAGTAGCCCACCGGTTGTTGGACGCAACTAGGTGGAGACTCCGAGACTCCGACCCTCAAAACGTCGCCAGCTGCGATAGAACGGCGTGAAAGGCGTGAATGGCAGCTATGACTCCGTCTGCTGCTCCGCAACTTCTCTGGGCCATCCAGGTTTCTTGTCACAGGTTTCCCATTACCGAATTAGCTAAGGTACCTTGGTATTGAATACCTGTTGAAGATATTTTACCTAAGCTCATTAGAGGTTTCTCGACATCAAAGTCCATTGTTGCACAGAGAAGGATTCAACTGCAACAGATCCTGATTTCCAATGCTCCAAATGATGCCATGTAGACCATGCAAGACGAGACGCATCCAACCCCAGACTCACAAGTTAAGGTACATTAAACAGCAATGCCTCTATTGTCTCTCCCTGCCGTTTCAAAATTAAAGGCTGCTTAGAATTCTTTGAGATTGGTAATCCATGGTTGGGAATCTCAGATTCAACTTTGCTAGCGTGTCGCACTTGCTCGCCAAAAGAGTCATCATGTCAACTTGGACGTCGTGGAAAGGCGCAGGACCCGCTTTAAAATGACGAGAACCGACCAAGACCCTTTGACTGGACCTTCCTCCACCACCACACGGCGCCGATGATCGGCAGGTGCTCCTTACCTTCCTTTGGCAAGAACGAGACAGCAATTCCCGGCTGGTGCTAACCTCCTGATGCTTGCTGAGGCGGTAAGGCATGGAAAGCACCTCAATAGCGTCTGAATCAAGGGAAACTTTCATCTTCCCGGCCGATGCTTCTGACATGCATCTCCACCCACTCGGATTCCCGACCATCGCCAACGGAACCCGGCTCAAGCCTCTGGTACAGTCAGTCTGCTGACATGACGGATCAATTTGGACCCTGATGACTGTGACGCCAGCGCCAGCCAACTAGTGAAAGCTCAAGTCTCTCGCCGATCCCATACTCGAATAGAAAATGGGCAACCTCTGCGCAAAACCAGCGTAAACAACACGCAGCCCGCCCAGGCACTTGGCTGCAACCTTGGCCGAGAACCTGTCGTGCTTCCGGTACTCTCATGCATTCTCAGACCACCGACATGGCTCGACACGCCCTACTGCCGTCACGCTGTCGTCCGACACCAAAAGACAGTCAGCCGAATCTCCCAGCGCCCTACCGGATGACATTGACGCAAAAGACAAAGACAGCACTAGCACCTGTTCACAACAATATTTACTTGCAATGTCGCGGACCTCTGCTCTCGGAGCTCAATCGGAGCCGTGCCAGACTCCAGCCGTTGCCATCTCCAGACTGGGGAATGGGGAATCAGAATAGAGCTAAGAGAGCCGCCCCCGCGACACCACGCAAGAAGCAACTCAAACCGAGGGTGATGCGGGCACGCGGGGAGCAATCATGGGATTCAAGATCCGCGACCCCAGCAATCTGCCAACGGCTGCAGCGAGCCAACGTCCAAAATGTCACATTATTATCTGCCTCCCTGCGGCCTGCCACTCCCTTCAACACCAAGTTGTGATAAGACGCACGAGACAGCAGGAGTACCACGGCCGGGCAGCCAGTGGCATACTTTTCAGCCTGCTGCCGAGGAGAAGTCTTGTTAGGTTCACTGTTCTTCAATGATCGACCCCAATCGCGTCGCCAGTCCGACACCGCTGTCCCAATCAGTAGCTTGAATTCGTTCCATCACCCTCCACGACGACTGCAGGCAAGGGTGGGAAATTTCCTTCCCGAGCACTTCACTTCGTCATCGCTGCAATACGCAGTCACACGCACCAGGCGTATTTTCAAGCATAGGAGCAGGTGTGTCGTTGGTTGAAAAATTACAAGCCCGTCGAATAAACAAGGGCAGCCTGGGTAAACCGACACAGGGTACAAGCACACGACAGGTACAGCAAGTATCGCAAGTACCTCTACCTCGATTCAATCGTTTTCACCCTCAAACATACGCGAGGTGGATATCGCAATCCAACGGACAAACGACGTGGATGAGAAGAAAAAAACTAATTCAGATACAAAGTTCGCAAAAACACACGACAACCGGCTGGGCTTTACGTACACGGAATCGATGTCTAATGAGATCCATCCAGGGGCGCGGCGCTTTGCCTTTAGGTGCCTGGCGGCTGTTGCTGGCATTACACGAGATCCATGCCATCGGGTCCCCTTGACGTACACGGTTGAAAGTGGACTCCCGCGGCGGAGGCACATCGGCCACCCGGTTCGGCCTCCCGTTAGCGGTCGATGCCCTCTGTTAAGCCGGTGGATCCCCCGGTGGACTGGGGCCCTGGAGGTTGCCATGATCCATCCGAAGGGTGCGCTTATGGGGGCGTGCCTCGCGAGTTCTTAACGTTAGGGGACGCCGAAAGTAATGAGATCCATCAGAGCTACGACCATGACCATCGTGAAGTGAAAATTTTACACTCGATCCCACGCCTTCAAAGTTGCAAAGGTCTCGAATGGCCACTCGCGGCCTCGCCAAGGTAGTGGCCGCATGGACCATTGGATGGCTCACACACCATGGAACATGCAAAAGAACAAACAGAGGGAAGCCATTACTATCACATCACGAATGGTCGGGTACCGCAGGAGAGAACCCGAAGAGTACAGCTGGCCACGTTGCGGCCTACCAGGAGCGCAATTGGATGTCAAGTAACAACAGCCGCACGACGATGGTGAGCTTATGACTGATGAGATCCATCGAGGTGATGACGCTAGAATGTATGGAACGTCTGAATGGAAGGCTGGAACGAGCCAAGTACGTCAGGCCAAGGCACGGGAGCAAGCGGATCTTGAAAAGTTGAGACAAGACAAACTTGAGGCTCCATCGCGGAACAGAATGGGGCTCTTCGGGTTACAGTTTACGGCGCATCACTACCTGCAATGCTGCATGGCCATGCTGTGCGGCTCCTTTGTGAGCAGCAGCTAGAGCCGCCGTGAGGTTTTGATCGACTGACCCAAATCAGGGGTGCATACGGGAAACAAGCCAATGTTGAACGGGCATGCTTGAGAACAACAAGAGACAACTGTGGGTTTGCTTGATGTGGATTGTGGGTGTTAGTGACGATGGTGCAATACCACGAATATCCCGAGCAGAATATCCACTTTGAGCCGACGACAAACGAGCCGTGGATGGCCGCGGTCTACGATGGCACATGGGTGTTTGCGATGTCGACGGTCGGACAGTGTGGTTGAAGTTTTTTTTTCGAGAAAATTTTTACGAGCAATTTGTTGCCTCTATTGCGCAGAGTGGAGTGCCATAAGCGCCATCTGTCCAAGGGAAAAGGACCCACGATGCGCCTTTGGATGGACAGCACTGGAGACATGCTGGAGACATGCTGGAGACATCCCACGCTCCGGAACGAGAGTCCGGAAGTATTACCTAACACTCCCGTTAACCGCCCTTCCGCACATGGCCTCATCGCCAAATGTCTATGGCCAGACCCTAGCAGGCCTACGATGATGGGATTCCGCCTCCAATCGGGACGGGGAGATCCTTCAGACGACGGATGGGACAGCCTTTTTCGATTCCGGGTCATTCCCAGACTACGAAAAGGCGTCATGCACACATGGCCATGCACCCACCAGTAGGTGTAGAAACTTTGGCGGCCAAGCCCAAAGACTCTTATTGACTCACGCGCCCAGTGCGCCCTACATACCGCTGATGTGCACCGCGCCCTGCAGAGCGCCTCATGTCAATGTCGCTATTGCACTAGTAGGCTGGTGGACAGGCCATAGACAACAACGCATATCACTTGGGCATCTCCCGGTTCATTGGCAACCGCCCCCAAACCACAAGAGCTGACCAAGCTCCATGATGAATAATTCCCCGTCTTCGCTACACCGGAAATCATGTTCCTCGAGGCTGAGGTGAACCAGAACACCATCTCCAGGACTGTATTGCGTCAACCCTCTTGACATTTGCTCACCAAGCTCATTGCGTGCTCACTGCCGCAAACTTACAGAACACCCAGGAATTGCATCATGCACGCCTCCACTGACTCCTCCCTTTCCACCTGAAATTGGGAGATGGCAAAGCAGTCAGGCCTAAGCTCAGCCAACACCAAAATGCGATACGTGCAAAATCACAAGCTTACTCGGAATACGCAAGTCTCTTTGAAACACTGGTAGTCTTTACCCCGGCTATGACAAGCTCATTCCTTCGTGGGGAGCTTCGTGTATATGTGTGTGTATTATTCAGCTTCCCCTCTGCTTCATTATGTAGTCGAAGGACGACATGTTCCTCTACATTGTCTACTTCTCTTTACCCCAACTTTTGACTCCCGTCGACGACGCCACATGCTTTCTCTTGCGCCCGCACTGCTACCAAAGCCGGTCAGACGGCCAGGGACTAGACGATCCGTCGACCGAGTTGTTGGAAATGGTGTTTGGGACGGTCTGTTGCTGTGAAGGCGCCGTTTTGGGTTGGGGTAGGTCATCACTCCTTTCGTCCAGCTTACTCTCTACCTCATATCCGTATTGCTGGCTGCATTGTATCCAGAGGTAAGCGTAACCAGATTATGGTGACGGGTGGTTTCACATCACTTTTGGCTGAAGAAATCCTCCTCATCTGGTAGTGGCAGAGCGTCTTGCTCTGTCTATTATCTCTATATATTCTACATGGCGTATTCGCCTTTTTCAGTAAAGGTACATCTAACATAGACATGTTTACGTGTGCACGGGGCAGAATTCAAGCACCATTGAATGGGTGCATTGTCTAGTCATGCCACGAAATGTACAGCATGATACCGGCGCCGACAGCAATGGCGGCGAACTGAACGAGGGTCTTGCGCAGCTCGGCCATCTTGTTCGAGCCCGTCTCGAGCAGCTCGGGGATAACGGCGACGGTACCGACGTAGAGGAAGGTACCCGCGGTGAAGGGCAGAAGCAAATCACCCCAAGTCTATCAGGTCCATCGTCAGCAACTTGTGATTCGTCACGCCAAACTTGCGTTGGCGGCACGAGAGAAAAGGAGTGCAGGTTTTGAACTCACCAAGCTGGTACCCCAGAGCCCCGCGTTACGCGGCATACCGCCCTCGCCGGAGCCGGAGCTGCTGCCGCCGAGCTCCTGGACGGCGATGCCGATGAGGGTGCCGAGAAGGGCGCCGAGGGCCGTGACGAATTGGGCGCCCATGGCGGCGCGCTTGCTGAAGCCGGATTGCACGAGCAGGGCAAAGTCGCCGACCTCGTGGGGGATCTCGTGGAAGAAGACGGCTACGGTGGTGGTTGCGCCGATGGTCGGGGAGGCGTAGAAGCTGGCGGACATGGCGAGGCCGTCTGTGATGTTGTGCGTGAAGTCGGCGCTGCGGGATGTAAGTCAGTACAGTCATGAGTAGAATCGCGCCCGGGGGCCGAGTGGGAGACTGGGTGGGAGGAAGTCGTACATCAGGTTCAGGTAGCCTCCGAGTCTCACGCTGGGGTTCATCTCCTTCTCCGGCTTGTCCACGGCGCCGTCGGCTCCAGATCCGGAGTCGGTCCCGGCCTTCTTCTTGCGCGAGGTGACTTTGCCCGCCTTCTCCACAGCAGACGACACAGCCTCGGCCTTGGCCTCCCCGTGCTCCTGCGCATGCGAGTGTCCACCGTGATCGTGCGAATGCCCCTCCCCGCCCGTAGCGATGCGCAGTCCCTTATCCATGGCCACGAACGTCATGAAACCGACGAGGATCGCGACGCCGAGCAGCAGATTGCGGTTCGGTTCGACGAGCACGAGGCGCGCGCGCTCGGGCTCGTCCTCGCCGAGGAAGATCTCGGGGAGCAGGTGGAACAAGGTGTCGCCCATGAGCCCTCCGACGGCGAAGGCGACCATGACGGAGAGAGAGGAGGGGTCAATGTCGGTCGGGCAGAGGGCGAGGAGGAAGTTGGGGGGCCCGGAGATGTAGAGGGTCGCCAGGAGGGCGTTCACGGCGGGGGAACCGGGGAAGAGGGTTCCGAAGGCGCGGGAGAGGAGGGAGGGGGTTTCGGAGAGGGAGGCGAGTTTGGAGGAGGTTAGGGATTGGACTATCGAGCATTGCTGGGATGGTATCGTCAGTTGCGAAGCTCTAGGCTGATGATTTTCGGTGCTCTGAGCTCTCCCGTGCGTCCAATCGGGTTTGCTTCATATTCTTCTCCTCCTCGCACTTACCTGCAGCTGCTCGTCAATCTCCTCGAGGCTGAGTGATGCCACGGGCTTGCTCGTGAGACCAATTTTCTCGGCGACGGTGGAGGCGAGGCCGAGCTGCACCATGAGGAAGAGAGCCCAGAAGGCTGGCTTCCAGGAACGAGCCATTGTCGCTACAGTTGCTTGTCAAGTTCGGTATTTGACTTTGAGCTTATCTCTCCGTTCTCCGACGTGTTGTATGTTCGATTTCCCGAGGTTGAACGATTGTCGAGGCGGGGATGGGTGTGGAAGAAAAACGAGTGGAAGCTCTCGATTGCACGACGAGGAATTGTCGAGAGAAGCGAAGAAAGCTGTGGCGGTGATCCTAACACTTGTTGAGATCTTTCTCGCGTTTACTCCAATTTCCGCATAGTGCAGAAAGCCCCCCTCTCCTCCCTGGATAAGCTGTCATCTCATTCCCTCTTCCAAACCTTGGCGAGCACGTCCGCTGCCGCTGCCGCTGCCGCTGCCGCTGCAGTGCCGGCCGAGGGAGACGCTGTAATTCCGACCATTCTCGGCCGATGACCGGTGCGAGCTGTGCCTTTCCAGGTCGCTGGAGCCTGGAGGAGCTGCTGAGAGGGTCGCGTGCCGCTGATTGTGAGGGTGCTGCTCAATGGAGGGGGTAATGCGAGCTGTGTGCAAGCTGAGAAGCATAAAAAGGCCGCTAGGCCATTTTCGGGACTTGTTGTGCAAGTCTTGCGTCCGATGTTGGAATTGGCAGGATAACTCATTCATACGACGACTTGCCCAATAATCGATATGGGTTGGAAGTTTGGTCCAAGAACACGGATCAAAGTTGCCAAAGACATTTGGAAACAGAATATGCAGAAGGAAGGGGGGTCTCGAAGCATTTATTCGATTTTCTCGACCTCCTTCCTGCTTGGACCCTTAAGGTACAAAAATTGAGACTAAAGCTCTTGGTACTGGGAAAGAGCTGGGGGCTCCCGAGGGTTTCGAGTACCCGGACGGGTCGGTTGGTCGTTTCCACTTTCCATCACCACCACTTGCCGCGTAAACGACATTCCCTCTTCAGCTTCGTGGGAAAGAGAGAGCAAATGCAGGACTCTGTTTGGCCCAATGCTGCTGCGGATTGTTTTGAGCACTGACAGAAGACGGGTAATGCTTGGGAAGTGACGGGTCCTGATTTGCTGGGGAGGTTGCACCTTGGTCTTCGGGATGTGGGAGTAGAAGCGGGTGTCAGTGTCACCGAGCTTGTTGGGTGAGTTCTGACGTCGCTCCATGAATCAGGTATGGTCCGCCCCTCGAAGCTCTGTTAATTGTGTGTTTTGTCTTCAATTGATCTCGATGAGTCTGGTAAAGCATCCCCGTTGAAATTTTGGGAACGGTGCAAGAGAACGAGGGCACATTGGCGATGTCCGTGTCCATGCTACCTCTTCACTCTCGTTCAAAGTGCCAAAACTTCTGTGCGCCATGTTGTATCTTCAAGAAATAGCATACCCGTAGCATCTATTTGTTCAACTGCACAGCTATCAACAACATTGAAGTCCAATAGCATAATCCATGGCCTGTCCGGGATGAATTGGTGGTCCACGTCTCCCGCTAGAACCGGCCCAGATTTCACGGGGACCAGGGTCTCGGTCCTGCACCTTCACCAAGAGGACGCCCTACCGAGCGACCAATGATCTTGCGCTAGTGACTCATCGTTTGAAGCTCCAGGAACTCCAGCAAAGCCTTTAACCATCAGGCCTTCTGCTTTCCTTTGCGGCTTCGATCTCATGACTCTGTTCTCCTGGTGGGTGGCTTCACTGAGAACTCTAAACGATTTACTTCTCTGGTGCCGTGAAACCCCACACATCGCGATCTGGGAGCTATTCGTAAACAGTACGAGCATCAACGACAAACATCAGAGTGAGGGCGAGTGCTCTCCGTGCTTTCCGTACACTTGAAAAATGTCACAGATGGATCCCAGCTCGATGCTAGCAAGATATCCCGTGAGTGGCCAATCAGCCTGTTCGACAGAAGTAAGCCGTCGTGTTGCCCACACCAAAGTAAACTGCTTCGAGCAAGATACTCGTCTAGCAGTCAGGTTTTCGACTCTTGGGTATTGAGGTCTTCGGGCCACACACCTCGGCACCGGGACGCACATTTCTATGCCGTGCCATATCTCGTGGAACGGGAGAGGTTTCTCCGGCACTTCGTGACCAATGGTTTCAACATCCTTACCGCAATGGTTCTCTCAATGGATGGGCCCCTCTGGGGTGATTATGTGACCGTTGATGACAAGAAACTGTAGTTACCAAGGTTCGATGACAACGACAGAATCCGGCCAAACGGGTGCCCGACTCTTTTCGGAGATAATGTTCTTGAGACCCATAATCAGGCGTCAAGCAGCCAGAATGTGTCAAGTCCATTTGTTCTTGTAAGTCTATCTTATTGAGCAGTTGTAGTCTTTCTCCGGCTTTGTCGGCTATAAAAGATCCAACCCAGCGTCTCCTCACCCTGCTTCTACTCGTTCATCTTGTCCTCGTCGCCCCATCTTTCGATCATCCTATCTTCCAAAGACATACCAATCCTCGAACATATCGTCTCCTCACTCTTTTACTCGCAAATTGCAGTCAACTCGCATACAACATGTACATATACAACGTTTTCGACGCAATAGAGAGTGCCATCGATGCATACGACGGCAAACTGTCAGACTACTACTTCCTCAACCAATGCATGCGTATCATTTGCGAGCTATACGGGATGGTTCTCCTCGGCATCATGGACTATTTCCTCGTGCTTCTCGTGCTCCGGTTCGACGCCGAGGAGCAGCCGTGGCGCACACTCGGCCACGACCCCTACGGATTCATCTGGTCCAAATACACCAAGGTCTACGACGTCGGCAGCATTGAAGATTTCGGCACGCAGCAGGCTGGCAATAACGGAACTATTCACGGCTTGGATCTTCTGAACGGCACAACGCCTGGTCAAGAACCTAACTATAGGCTGGTCCTGCGCAGATACGGCAAGGGGTGTTGTGGAGGTATCCTTGGGCTGTATGATGGGTGGAAAATCTTTGGATTCTTCCTACACTATGCCATACATGATTTCCGCGCTCTAGCCGCTATGAGATCCGCTCTAAGACAAAGCGGCATTGACAACTCGGAAACCGCCTTGGAGCATTGCATCATATGGGCTTTGTCGCTTGTTCCCATGTTCTTCAGTGGGCAGTCTTACTACGATAATCCAGTGCAATCAATAGTTTGGCTGATCCTGCTGGAATGTATCATACAGGCGTTCGCCGTGTTAGCTCGCTCGCGATTGGAAAAGGAAGAAGAGGACGAATGGTAAAACAATAAGGGCAACGAGAGCCCGCTGATGGAGGGAGATCATGCGAGGGATGAAAGGGACTGATAAAGGGGCGATATCACCAACACTACAGGGAAAGGGGCTGAAGAAGAAAACGAAGTACTCCATTCGCTTGTGACTTGCGGCTGTTCTGCACTCACAACTTCTGGGGAAGACCGAAGAGTTACGAAGATTTCATGCGGATCAAAGTAATAAGAAGATCAAATAACCTTATGATGAATGAGAAGCTTCTTCTAGTTTGTGTGATAAAGTCCCTGCTTCCATAAATTGGGATCGCGTGCATGACCTATCAGCGATATTCGTCGATATGATAGCCGTTGCCGAGACGTCACTGCCCAGATGAAGGTAGGGATGCTGTTGCTGGGGTCGACGAGAGGGAAGGTACTGTGTACGTTTCGTTCACAGTAATGAGGCTCGGCACGAATGCCAGCTGAACCGTGTCGAATACGAGGAGCTGGGAAAGAGGAGTCAACATGATGCAAATCGCAGTTGTCGCAGACGTCTGCGGACCGTGGAAGTAGCAGTCGTTTCCAGATCATCATAGCCAGAGGTTTAGGCAACTACCATGCTTTGGTCATATGCATCCGGCAGGAATGTGCAGATATTGAGCAAGAATACATACCTTTCGATGAGTCCTTGCCGAATGTTTGCTCCATCAGGCATGTTGAGAAGAAGTTGCGGAAGAGATGACATGGTCAGTCACTGCCTCCAACGGCTACATATGTGCAATTTCCGCATCGAAACAGCAGGACTCAGCAGCAGTGCCAGCCAGATTGCATTACTTCCAAATATTGGAAGCAGGAAATGGCATCCCTGGGTCTCGAAGTTGGAAGGTCTGATTCTGTTCCACGAAGTCCTTGACTAGTATATCTACCCATCCTCTCCCCCCCTCTCTTCTCTTCTCTTCTTCTTCTTTTCTTCTCCAGGGAGGTCGTCTATCATTCACTACCGAATACAACAAGCGAGCCGCATAGCGATACACACTTACACCTATACTTACAACATGGACCCCCTTTACGTCATCCTCGCGGTACCGGTCGCGGTCGCCTTCTGTTTTCTCGTCATACTTCGAAAATCCCTTCGACGTGGCTGGACAAGACTCCGCCCCCAAGTCAACGAATGGGCAAGTCTGGCCATGGTCGCGCTTCTGGAGGCCTTCAAGAAGGGCATTAAGGACGCCCTGAAGGAGGTCTTCAAGGGGATTATCTTGACAATTCTACGAGAAATGACGGGCTTTCCGAAGCCTTGTGCCGCTCAGGGCGGTGCAGGTGGACGCTGCCCTGATGAACCCTTCGTGGTTCACAGAAGGTGTCTTACCCGACGGTACCTTCATCCGACAATCTCCGACGCCCCGGTCCTTGGGCTCCAGCGGGGGACCTTACAAATTATGTGCTCTCTCGGGAGCTTTCTTGACGACATGTTTTCTTACGACATCTTACATCACGGCATCTTACAACACGGCATCTTGCTTGACGACATCTTGCTTCACGACATCTTGCTTCATGACATCTTGCTTCACGACATCTTGCTTCACGACATCTTGCTTCACGACATCTTGCTTCACGACATCCTCCACATTGGCATCTTGTATGACAGCCTCTTCCATCATGGATCTCTTACCGTATGTCCTCCCATCACGGCATCTTCTAGGACGACGTCTTTGGTCAAGACATCGCCTGCCACGGTTATCCCCCTATCACGAATTGTCCCATCACTGCATTTTCCCGGCATCTTGTAAATTATCATCTCTCAGCCTGGATCCCCTATCACGCCGTCTCTCAAAGAAGCATTCTTCGTCATGGCTGTCTCTTATCGAAACACACTCAACACGGCATCTCGCACAACAGCATCTTCCATCATGGGTCTTCCATCACGACGTTTTCTCTCACAACATCTGTCGTCATTGCCGTCTCCTATCATGACGCTTCCTGTCATAACATCTCACGACATGATGTCTTCTACCAAGACGTCTACACTGGCTTTTCTCATGTCATCGGCCCATGTGTCGTGGCGAAGTCATTGTACTCTATTCGGCTTGTCCAAGGTCATTGCCAAAGCTATCCGTCATGACTTCGACCCACGAGCCTGTCTTTCACCAGATGACCGACTGATCACTTCATCTCAACAACTTCCTTGTCAAGAGTCTGAACACGAAGATTTGTCATCTATGGGACGCTGTAGGATGACTATCCTTACTGGCTGTCGTGGTGTCGGTCCCTCCCGGACTGTCTCCAGAGAGCCTGCCAACATCAGGATCATCGTCGAATGCCCCTGGCCAGACTGGACTTCGGGACGAGAAGCCGTCTCTTCATCCGTGCTCTTGAAGTCCAAGTCTGAGGATGGCTATCTGCAAGCTGGCAAACTAAGACAGTGGTATGGCTTCCTTACCTTTGCTCTTGATTACCTGAATACACAGCTAACGTCTTCTGCAGGTTCTGTCCCTCTCAGATTGTGTCTGTTTTCCAGTATGGCTCAGTTCATGTTGGGTGAAGCTGTTCTTCGTAGCTGGTGCTGGTGGTTCGGGTCACATGCTCTACGGGTAGGTCAAGTTCTTGAGTCTCTCTGTTCAACACAGCTGACAAGAATTTGAGGCTCTGGAAGTCTTGGCCAATCAGGTGACGCATACTGCTGGACCTGTGTCGAAGGTGTTGATGCCGCCACTGTCTCCTTCACCATGGGTTGCTTCTCTTTGACTATTCGTCATTGCAGTACAATCAACCATGAGCAGGTGGGGCGCGCCAGAAAGCACATGGGGGTGTGTCAGTGCGTGTGACAGCCGCTGGAAGGAGCATCAAAAGATGGTCAGAGCTTCCCAAGTCGCTGGTTCCCTCTGCCAAGTCTTGCACCTCCTCCTCCAAGCACCTGGAACCCCGCCATGCCCGCCTCTTTTGCAGCATCCAAGGTGGCTGTGCAAGCAATCGACACTTCAACCCCTCTCACTGAACAATCAAACTTCAAGTGACGAATCCACTGAAGAGAGAGTGGATGGGGGGCGAAAAAGGGGTCCGTCACTTGTCGTCGAGTTTCCCATCAAACAAGGTGTCGTTGGGTGCAAGGGCTGGGAACACCTTGAACGTCAACAGTGGCCAATGACGTCGCTCGCCGCCCAGAGGCCTCTCGGGCACGCACCAGCGCCATCACCAAGCTAAAGCACGGCGCACCACCACCAACAGCTGCTTTAAGCGCCATGCAAGCTGTTTCGACGCACCCACAATCCAACCATATTCGCCCTCACTACACCCCTGGTCCTTGAATAGACAGAACCCGGCTCGTCGTCACAAAGTCTTAGAGCACCATCCGAAGTGCCACTCACCTTTACCGTTCCTTGCGATTCCTGCTGAGAGGTTTCCTGCTGGCGAATAGCTATTGCAGTTCCCCTACACAGTCGTCACTTTGTCTGATCGCTGGCGTCCACCTAGTGTACCAACCAGACCTTTTATCCTCCGGACCGCAACTCGTTTCAACAGCTTCCCGAGCAGACGCTCTCTCCCACTTCCAAACCGAGCTCCTTAGACTTTCTGGACCCCGCGGTCTCTCACCAAAGTTCTCCACGACATTTACGCGCCAGTCGCATCTCGAGACACCACCACCCAAGAGCAACCTTCTTGTACGAGGCCCGACCTGACGTAACCAAAACCTCAACTTTCTGCGCCTGTTTTGCGCACCCATCTTCATCATGGCTTCGGGACACAACGTATGCCCTCCAAGACGGAGACAATATTGCGACCGCCCTCACTGACCCTGAGACCAGGACCCCAAGCTTCTGTACGCCATCAATGGCGTCCAAGCCTTCCACATCTCCAATGGCAAGGAGGAGTCGCTCACACCCGCCGGGCCCCAGACCTTGTCGCTGTTGATGGTACCGACTTCTTCACCCTTCACCGACGCAGACTCCCCCGCCGAGGACTTCTACCTGCACCTCCATCTACCTCCCGAGCTCGATCTTCCTCTTCCTGCGACAACACAGATCTATCACCAGCCGCCAACTAGCTACCTGATTCCAAGATGGGATCTGGGCCCAGACAGTGGCGCTTTCACACGCATCGAGTTCCCAGACACTGGTAGCCGGAAAGGACTGCAGGAGGACGTCGACACCTTCGAAACGATCCTTGCGCAATGCACTGCATTCCTCGAGCGAGCCCCGCCGCCAAAGACCTCATCCAAATCGGCCAAAGCCGCCGCCGCGGCCTCCGCATACCCCTATGATGACCCCGTTACCGATCGTCCCTCTGCCAAGTCCAGAGCTGCCGCCGCCGATGGCCTCCCCGCCTACAACCCGGCCGACTACCAGCCTGGACAGGGCTATGCCCCGGGAGCCCACAGCTCCCAGCACAATGGCGGCCGGATTGTCCTGATTGACGAAGAAGACGGAAGTGTCATTGGGGAGCTGACTGAGAACTACCAAGTTGTAGAGGAGCTGGGCGTCAAGCCTGGAACAAAAGGTAAGTTTGGCGGCACCTCGGCCGAGCTTGACTCACATGGCATGCTAGATCCGGTGGAGATTACACTCCCTGCCGACAACAGCCAAGCCATTACCGTTCAGCCCGTGTCGCAGGAGTACCGCGAGATGATTATGCACCCATCGTACAAGAAGTCGTTCTTGGTGTCGAATGCTTCAAAAGCGTCTCGACTCATTGTGACATCGTCGGACTTGATCACAAAGGGTTTGCAGTCCTCGGCCGACAACTTTACAAAGAAGACAAAGGCGACGACCGAACCCGTGACGTTCACTCCTGCCGCGCACGACCGTGTACGACGCATCAACCAGTTTTCCACCAAGGCGGCTGGTCTGTCGGCGACCACGGTTGGAGCGGTGGGCAAAGTTGCCCAAAACCTGGGCGCCACCCTGGCTAGAAAGAAGGATGGCAGTGGAAGAGGATACGATAAGGATGGCAACCCAATTGAGGGTTACAAGCCTGGCCTGCTGAACAGGAGCTTGATGGCGTTCAACACTGTTGCGGACGGCATCGATCAAGCAGGACGTAATCTGTTGACTGGCACCTCTTCCAGCGTGTCACAGATGGTGGAGCACCGTTGGGGTGCTGAAGCTGGCCAAGTATCCAGGAACATTGGCGGCGGCTTCAAGAACGTTGGGTTGGTGTACATCGATGTGACTGGTGTATCCCGCAGAGCAATCCTGAAGAGCGTAGCAAAGGGTATGGTCGTCGGTAAGGTAAAGGGTGGTGGACAGATCATCGTCGGAGGCGGCGATGGCGGAGCAGTGGGTTATCTGGAAGACCAGAAAACTCGCAAAGACGACCAGAGCGATACGGCCAGTATGTACACGGCGTATGAGGGCAATGGCAAGCAGCCAGCCGGCAAGAGGCCATGAGTGTGTATTGGAGGATAATTGTTCAGAGTGAAATAGATGGGACCCTTGGACTTTTAAGAGGTACTGAGTTCAGTGTGAAAGACTTGGAACGAAGAGGGATGGATGGTGGGCCACTATGCAGTTTTGTCCAGGCAGTGCGTATTCAATACGAGTAAACGAAACCTAGGTAGCCCAATCAAAGAAACCACAAGCCACTACCCCTTAGAGTCCGCTGACCGCATTCGTAAGGCTAGAGAATTCACAATGTAGGTGAAGAGTGTTCGTTCGGGATAAGCCTTGGACGGGTAAGACGGAGTACACATCCAGGTGCCGGTGTCCCGGAAGCCGTCGGCGATTACCTAATTTTAGACACATGTCACGTGGATCCGCAAACGCCTTGCTGGGTCTGATTGTCTCAGTGTAGCCACTTTAGCCCGTCCGGTCGCGTCAGATCGCGCTTTCCTCCTGGCGCCCACTTCCATCAATGCGACTACTGTGATATTGGAAGGGATCAGGCCCTCAGCATGGAGCCTTCTTGACATCGGTGCTGTTTTGTTGTGGCTCGCGCTCTCCTGTTCCCGTTCGAGAGAAAGACAGAGAGATTGTATTTCCTTTTGGGTTCGTGCCACGATGCCTTAGTTCTATGCAGCCCAAACACATCAGGTAATTTATCCATTCGCCAACCATCCGTCACCTGTTGTTGCAACGCAGCCCAACTCTCCCCGTCTTTTGCTTCCTCCCGCCAGCCCGCCCCGCCATCCCGCCAAATTCTGGACGACATCCACCCGGCGGTTTTCCTCTCCGCCGTATTGCCAACCTCCACTCGCCGAGAAACGAGTAAATGTGTCGCTTCGAGCTATTAGGCGCTTTCATCTTGCTTCTCCGTGACTTTGGCGAAAAGTCAAGGTCCAAGAAGCCGCCGCAACCACGCGAAATGTGCCACATCCTCCTCCTCCTCCTCCGTCCCCTTCTTTGAACCCATGATCGAATCCCTGTCTGTAACCTAATCCCCGACTAACACCTCGATTCTCTCCCCTCACTAGAAGCAAACAGCCGGCATGCTCCACGAAGTCCTCCTCGCCCTCTCTGGGCACCCCTCCCCTCTCCTCCGAACCGACAACACAGATCCCAATGCGCTATCAACGGCAATCTCACCACCGGAGCGCGAACTCCTAGCCACCGCCGCCCACCTGAGCGACCTCCATGTCAAACTGCAGAGCTACACCGCCCCCATCGCCGCCGAGCACCCATCTACGATATGCCGCGCCACCGCCACCGCGATACAGTCCGTCCACCTAGCCGCTTTCCAGCGCAAGGTCCTCGATGTCGAGGAGACGATACTGCGCAAGGACTCGAGTCTTGTCGGCGCCTACAACATTGTGCCATTGACCGCCGTTGTGGGGGAGTTTTCCGAGTGGACGAGACGCATGGAATGGCTGTGGGAGATCGTGCAGTTTATGCTGAAGAAGCAGCAAGGGCAAACGTGTCGCGGGGCACAGCTGATTGACAGGCTGAGGAGTGAGCTGCAGAGCGGCTATGTCGATATTGAGAGGACGGCTATGAGCCTCGTATCCGTGGCAGAGACGGCCTGGCTGAAGCAGGTTTCTGCTTGGATCCTCTACGGACGATTGCCGACCTTTGGAGGGGAGGACTTTTTTGTGCAAAAGTCGGAGGGAGGTGACCAGGTATGTCATCGGCAATGGGTCACTGTGAGGTTCATGACTGACCGCGACAGGAATACATCTCGGTGCCGGCTTTTCTACCCAACTTTGTAACCCTACCAACGGCATCGTCAATGCTCTTCATCGGCAGGTCGCTCAACCACGTCCGTGTCAAGGGCAGTGTTGAATCTGGCTTGCAAGGCCTCGATCACCTGTCTTCGCAACTAAAAGAGCTATCCGCTTTAACCTACCCTCTCCACACGGCGAGCTTCTCGCGCGCCATTACCTCGATTCGCCTCACACTCTCACGGACGATCTTGCTCAAGCTCCTGCCTCTCGCCAAAGTTGTTGAGGCACTGCAGGTTTTGCGAGAGTTCTTCCTTCTCGGCCGCGGCGAATTTGCCATGGCTCTGACGCAGCAGGCTGACGAGAAGCTTCGGAGCAGGTGGAAGAGATCCGACAATCTCGCGTATGAGAAGCGAGAAGGCCTCGGCACCTTTGCCGTCAAGGAGGGCGAGGTCGCCGCCGTGCTGGCCAAGACATGGGCGGCCATGGGCTTGATGCAGGGACAGCACGCGGACGAAGACGAGGGTTTGGAGATTGCGAGGGAGCTTCTGCGGTTGACTCTCACAAAGTCCAAGCCGGCAGTGCCTCTCAAGCTCGAAGCAAGCGTATCACGGCCCGCGACGAAAACTCTGGCCACGACCCCTTTCCGCAACCTCCTTTTATCAGTCCCTGTCGTCTTGACGATGCAGATTCCCTCGCCCATGGACATGTTCCTTACCCCTTCCGACTTACAGATCTATTCCACCATCAACTCATACCTTCTCTCTATTCGCCGAGCACATATTCGTCTCACTGAGCTGTGGAAGATCACATCCCTACGCCGGCATCATCCGGCACCCCCAGGACCACCCGCCGGAAGCACTCGAGCGGGGCGCTCTAAGGTGATACTACTGCGTCAGCGCTATACGCAGCGGTCCAATGCCTTGCGCAGCGCCTGGGTGACATGCAGCTCTGCTATATTCTTTCTCTCCGAGACGGAGGCATACTTACAGACGGAAGTAGTGGCTGGCCTATGGGACGGCTTTCACGACTGGCTGACTCCCAAGGCAGAGACGGACGGCACTGAAACGGGGCCTCAGGGTGTATCAACCAAGGCAGCATCTAAACCTTCGACAGTAGTCGAGGCAGAAGATGAGGACGACGACGACATATGGCTAGCTCAGAGCACGCCAACAACAAAGTCATTCAAGCGAGCAGAACCAACCACGACCACAACTCACGACCCCCAGAGTCTCGCCACGGCCCACAGGGCCTACCTCCGCGCCCTCTCCACCCGCCTCCTCCTTACCTTTCCCACCTACACGGACCCGCTGTACAGCCTCCTCACGCACACGGATCACCTCGTCGCACTGACGCAGCGCCTCCACGCCGTCTGGACCTCGATGGACCTCGAAGCGGACGCGGGCGTCGTCGACGCTTTTGTGGACCTCGAGATTGAGGAAAAAGAGGTCCGCGCCGCGATCCGCGACGTGGAGAAGCATGTCAAGGACGGGATCCGGGACGTGATTGCTGCGTTGCGGAGCCTGGAGGCGGACCCAGCGGCGTTTGCGGACGAGGAGGAGGGCGGCGAGGAAGGGGTTCTTAGAGAGGAAGGGGAGTATGTGCCGCGGAGGGTCGGTGGCGTGGAGAGGTTGCTGATGAAGCTTGATTTGGCGGGGTGGTTTGGGGAGAGGAAGGATGATTTCGGCTTCGTGTTTAGTGAGTACTGAACGCGGCGGATGGACATTGGCGGAAAGAGCGAGCGTTTGCAACACGCGCACCTATACACACGACACATGTGGAATGGACAAAGCCTGTTGCCACCCCCGCAAAGGGCAGATGCTGGGGAGAGGGTTCCTCGAAACACCCCCGATTCCGATAAAGATCACGGAACAGAGCGGAGAAAGATAGTACGACGATGGAAAGAGACACATTCCGTCATAAATCCGAATCTTGACATCGCCCCAGAAAACCGGGGAACACAAAGACCGTTCAGGGCACTCCGGGTGACCGTCTGCAAAATTACGATGGTGGTGGTGGTGAGATGTCGCTTCCTCTGCTCGGTTAGACAAGCGAGGAAGCTCTTCCACGATACTCCGTACGCCTTCCTTTCTTCCACCTTCCGCTGTCAAGGTGGGAAAGGCAGAGAACGTGCTTTGTGCAGCGGTGGTGGGGTGATTTTTCGGCCGGCCGGGACCCAGCGAAGTTGGTGTAAACGGCATAGTGAAGTTTGGCATTTTGTTACCGGCGGGACGGACCGGGGGAACGTCATGGGTCACGCCAGAGCGGAGCTGGTGTCGCCAGGTCGGTGTCGTTTGTGGGGGGGGGGGGGGACGTTCTCGGCTGGGCTTGGCGTCGTACCGAAATCTCACGATGGGGAGTGGAGTTGTGTGGTGTGACATTGACGATAGGTAACCCGTTCCACTCACGACGGAAAAGCTTCAGTATTCTTGTCCGTCGTGTAATCGAGCTTGTGTGAGCGTGTGTTCTTCCTTCTCTCATTTTTTTTTTCTTCAGAGCATCGAGCATTAGCAGTGGGCGCTGAAAATGTTCCATGGTCATGTTGGTGTCTTCGGTCACGCACAATGAGGTAGTTTGAGCAAATCAGAATCGAGGCAATGATGCATCTTTGTGCCTTCATTCATATTTACGAAATACCTAGTCCAGAAAGGAAGAGGTTTCAAAGGTAGTCGTTTCGATTCGTACAGGGCTTGCTTGCTTGCTTTCGCAATTCATCCAATTCATCCATTCCGTCCCAGCTCTTGGGGGGGTTTCCAGTCCAGCGCCTGTTTGATGCATCTTCCATGGAAGGAAAAAAGTAAGAAATTACATACAGAGAGATTGATGCACACACTCCAAAGAGAAGAAGAAGAAGAAAAAAGAAGAAGAAAAAAAGGGGGAGTCCAAAACGCCATTCCACTCCATGCTGTGAGCGGGAGGAATTGTCCCCATGGTACCGTGTCCTGCCCATCATATCCACATTGCTGTCATTGTGTGTTGTTTCCTGTTCTGTTATGTATGTGCTGCGCATGATCCGCTGCTTGTGTTTTGCTCCCTTCTTGGAGTCTGTGTAAGTCGATCTCAAGTCGATTTGGATCTTCCATCCGAAAATGTGCTTGTTTTTGGTTCTTTTTTGTCCCCCGCAAGAGATGAGAAATCCGTAACAAAGTGATAAGTTTTGGTTTCCAATGATGAAAGAAAAAAAGAGTTGATCAGAAAGTGACGCCTCCTGCATTCATCTCAATAAGTCGAAATCGGACGTTGTCGCAATGGACTTGAAGCTTGATCAGAGGGGCGGCGCTGGAAAAGGTGTTGCATAAAGGCCTTGGGGCCAACATGCTCTACGTCGACAGACCGGGAGGTCATGGGCACCGGGATGCGGGTAAACTTCTTCGTTTGCCAGCGGGTCTTGATGCAGTCGTCAACAAGGGCCATGAGGCCGGTGGCGATAATCACATCGGCGACGTCGGTGACGGCGTCAAGGACGCTGCGATCGCTGATCCACATGTGGCAAGGGGGCACCCAGCCACCTGCACTTTCATCCTCGATAACCTGGTTGGGCGAACGTGTCTCGGGGACAATGTGCGCAACGGCATCGCGGGCGTCGTTGTTGCCGTCCTTGACGAGGTGGAAAGAGACGACACCGAGGTTCTTGTCAGTGACACGCTTCCACTGGTACTTGTGACCCCACCAGTCAAACTCGTAGCGCTTGTTGTTGGCACCGCCGCGGCGTGACACGTCGACGCGCGCATAATTGGAGAACTCGAGCTTCATGGTGTTGCTGGGAACCGGTCGAGCTTTGGATTTCGCTTCAAATGAGGCTGAACGCTTGAAATTTGCCGCGTCGTCGCCAAAAGTGCGCATAGACGAAGAGCTGGACTGTGGGCGCTGCGAAGCTCCGTCCTTGCCCTTGCCTCCGAAGATTGAGCCGCCCGAGTTGGTGCGCGACAGAGGAGGTCTCCTCATGGAGAGGGTCTTGATGGCGCTTGAGACGGATCGCTGGAGGGTTGGTCGCTCTTGGTTGGTTTCCTCAACGTACTTGCGTTTGGAGTTGCAGACTTCGCGGCCGGATTCGCGGCAGTAACGTCGGAGCGAGAACTCACGCTTGCTGAGGTCGTACATGCGCAGGTGAAAGAGCTGAATGTTGAAGGGGCGGCGACCGGGGGCGACGGTGTCTACTCTGAGATTCATGTTGCCGTCCGGGGTAAATTCGTCGTGGCAGATAGATAACCTGTTCATGGATGGGAACAGTTTGCCAAAGTCCTGGGGTGTGGATGGCCGTACATCAGTGTCGATGATATCACGGTAGTAGGTAGGCAAAGGCGGGATGTCGCGGTGCTTGTCGAAGTTGTCTAGTTCGGCTTCCCGTTGAAGCTCAAGCTCATCTTCGTCGTCCGAAGCCAAACTTGAGTCGAAAGTGTCGACGGAAGACCTCAAACAGTTACTAGTAGAAGGGGATATGTCTTCCTCGTAGACGGGCGGGATCTTGTTAGAGACGGTCCTAGCTTCTTTGACTGATGACGCTTCGGTGCTCGCATAGTAAGAAGTGGGTGTTGTGCTCTGTGATTCATACGTCTCGTATGAGTCGCAAGATTCGCTACTCCTGCGGAAGTCTCGGCTACTTGTCGAGCTCTTGGAGCTGTTTTTCCGATATGAATGTGACATGGCGATATGTAATTGTGTGTTGTGCTGGTTGAGCCGGAGGGGAGACTCGAGGTTGAGAGAGGAGTATTGTTGAAGTTATACAATGTAGGAGAGCTGTGTCTGTATGCCAGGATTGCTAGGGGAGGGAGCAAGGCTTCATATAATCCAAATGGAACAAGGCCTCTGAGCAAGTGAGCTGGCAGATTGGGCTCCAGAGATTGGGGGAAGAGGGCGTGAAGTATTGTGCAGGTTGGTGAAGGATTGGGCAATAACGTGTGTTTGACGTGAAGCCAGGGTGTTGGTTTCCGATGAGGACCTGAGGCGATGGGGCCGGTTGGATAAAGCAGGGGGTGTATGATTCCGAGGCGGTTGGGGATGGAAAGGAGTTGAGATGTGAGAGTGATTATAAAGTGAGTATGATCAAGAGTTCGTGGATATGATACAAGTGCAAGAATATAGCCATCAGGCAGGAGGGCAGTCCGATGAGAGCAATAAAAAAAAGTGCAGGGACGGAAAGAGTAATACGTGATGCTGGGGGTCGGGGCGCGACGGGTGGGAGGTGGTTTGCTTCTTAACGGAGGGTGGGCAGCTCTGGCGCGGACGGGCAGGGAAGACGTAGGACGGGGATCGGAGATGGCAGAGGCAGCGACGGCAGAGACGGGGAAAGTCGTCCAGCTCAGGATAGGTACTTTGGTACCTGAGGTACGTAGTGAGGTATACAGAGTACCTACAGAAGGACCCCAGGCGGTACGACACCACACGACTGGAATTGGAACAACCGGCCCTGCACTGCTACCTTCCCTTAGGTACAACTCAGAAGTACTTGCCATCCCCCCTGCTTGACCCAAGATGCCTTACGGTGCCCACTACCAGCTGCTTGCTGTATGGTCTTCTCCCTCAGAACCCCAAAAGATTGGACAAGACGGGATGGATGGGTTGGAGAGGGAGGAGGAGCGACAGGGTTTTCCGTATGGCTGGCGAGAGGCCAGGCCACCGCCAGAGGCGTGAGTCGCCCAAATGGACGGACGGTCTGCCTCTTGGGGAATGTGGATGCGTGAACGAAGGCGACGATGAGTTACAAGTCATCGACAAGTCATTCTGTGCCTCATCCTTGAGCGAGTTGGCGTGAAGGAGGACTCGGAACAGTAAAGTAGTGACATGGCGACAAGTACACAGACCCGTACTCTGTCATGTACCATGTTATCTTGCTATTTCCTTAATCCCTCCCCCATTTTTGGCGACAACGAGACACGAAGGCACTGCATGTGTGGGGGGGAAAAGATGGGAGGAAGTCTCGCTCGGCTTGGCTTTGCAATGCAGACAAGTCACCCGGCCGAGCGAGGGAAAAGAATCACCGGGAAGGAGCCAGCGGTCTCTCGGCCTTCTCAGTCCTCCTTCCTAAGTAATAAGGTGTCCGTAAGGTAAGGTATGGAAGATGGAAGGTACGCATACCTTGGGCAAGAAACGGGGAAAGCAGGAACGGTGGCCCGCCGTGGGATGTTCCCTGCCCTATACGGTACGAATTGCTTGTGACCTCTTGCCTTTTGATTCTGGCCTGGCCGAAGGAACTTTTAGGGGAGCAACAATGTCCCACGAATAAGGCGCCGTGTCGCATTTGCAAATTTCTCGCTGTCACCATTTTTGCGACTCCAACACTGAAGATTTCAAAGACGCCCGACAGCGAATACGTCTCGCAGCATTGCTCGAAAGGGAGCCAGGGTGGCACGACAGGTCTCGCGGTTTTAGCTTCCGGTGGCATGTTTCCTAGAGACCTTGACCCTGTCTGTCTGCCCGCTAACTTCTACGCAGTACGCAGTAAGGGTCGGAGCCCACAGTCGCACCCAGATTCTTCACTGCAAGGATAGAGGGACCGAGGAAGTCTTAGGGAGTGTCCCGCTGGGACGGTCGGAATGGAGACCTGCTTTGGAGCTTATTCCTGGCATCGTTCCCGCTGGAGACGCAGGCAGGCCACAAGGCAGGTCGGGAACATTCGGTTTGCGGCTTGCCCATCAATTTTGATCGGAAAGCCCCCCAAAACTCTGTTTGTAAGCTAACGATTCCAGCCCGACGACCGCCACGTACAACCCACGTCCCCCCATGTTCACTACTACGAATACAGTCACTTGTTCTTAAACCAGCTGGCGCCTCTCGTGGCTGAGTGAAAGTCACAGTCATCGCTATCGAAACTCACGGCTGGAAACAGGCACGCCGCACACAGGCTGGCTTGAGTCCCAAAGTCAAGGCGGTCTATCGGATGGTCTCCAGGCCACTGGATATCCCAGCAGAGACCGAGAAGATTCACTCCTGCCTGCGTGCCTGCTTGGCCTGGCTCTCACGGAGCTGGTCTCTTTTCTCGCGGCCAATGACCCAATACCTCGTGGGCCGCCTGCTGTGGCTTGGGCGGCGACTAAAGCCTGAATGAACGTGTCGTGTCATCAGGAGGGAGGGACCTATCCGAATAATCCTGACGCCCGTGTCATTGCCATTTCCAGTCATCGTTGTGCTTCCTCGCGCGGCTGATGGGAAAACATGATACCTGATGACCTAATTAATACATACAACAGGAAGAATACGAAAGAAGAGGTTACTCGCCCAAAAAGAATGCCAAATGACCAAATCATCTTGCGAGGATCGTCCGCCCACCAGGGAGAATTTCCTCCTGCTGGCTTTTTCTTTTCTGCCTGTCTGATTGATCCGTTGCTTCAACGATCGGCACTCGTCGCCCTTCCCGGATCGCTTCCCGTTTTCTTGGTCA